TGCCTCCACCTTCCATGCAGATTCTTCTCAAGAGACAGTACCAGTGTAGTAAACTATGTTGAGGCACATCCCAGAAGACTTTGATCTTAATTTTGCAATTCCTTTTTGATTAATGTTTTTCATCTTGGTCCAGCAATGACAGCAGGAAAACCGTAACTCTTCAACGATGCAGGACATTTAATTCCTACTCACTCCTTTGGAGGGAGGATATTTAAACATTTAAAAGAGTAAAAGCAACATTTCACTTAAAGTGTAATAAACTGGGAAAAACTGATGTTTTGTTTTTCTAATTTTCATATCATGTTCAGAAATGTATATAGAATTGGTGTATTGATCCACACTCCTTTACAATTATTTTTTGGTACAGTAAGCCTATAAAAAGTAGGAAAATAATAGTATCATATTATCTTTATTATCTTAGAAATTCGGCTGGTTGTGCTGAATGAATGAATGAATGAATGAATGAATGAATGAATGTATGAGGGGTAGGCCTTTTCGGTCCTTGCACCACAACCTACAGTGGTTTATTGTGCTTCCCCTTTTGATTATCTCTCAGCAATCCTGCGCTTTGAATGAAGTGCAGGATTTTATACATGGGAGCACTGAAATAGTCACTTGGTTCCATAAAGTACTGACCTAAGTGACGTAATCTTAAATAAGCTAAGGCCTCAAATTCACATAGGATATGTGTGGTTGTGTTAGTCATGAAAATATCCCACACAGAGTCCCTCATCACACAGTTTTTGACACACAACTTGACGTTTCTGTTCTCTTGATTTCTTCACAACTGGTGGAATCTTGCTTATAAAATTTCTTTCTCTTAGACAGACACAGTTTTTCTGACGAATGTTGACCCAGCCCTTTGTATTCTACAGCATTAGCATATTTCACAGAGAGTCCCTCAAGTAATTGAATTCTGATTGACAATTGATCGATTCTTTCCCTTGTATTATTCCTACATATCATCCCATTCAGAAATTTTCTTTTTGCGCCTTATAGTTTTGAAAATTCTCCCAATGGACGTTGGTGCTTTTCTCAATTCTGTCATTTATCATAAATTGAGAAAAGCACAAACATCCATTTTCAGTGTCAAATTCTGACTCTGATAAAACTTTGTTCTGATTCAGGTCAAAGTAAAATATCCTCCACTGGTCGTAACACAACACAGCTGGACACTTTACTGCTTGTGACTGGCCTTGGCAGTTAAAACCAGACTGAACGATGTGTATTTAAAGAACAAAGGGGAATTACAGTAGTACCATTCATATAGTCAACTGTTTACAGATCGCTACATAGCAGTCATAACACATTCTTAGAGTCAACATCACGTCTCAAAGTCACAGATTATCCACATGTTTTCTTGTATTTCCAAATTCCAATCTTGAAGCAGCATTGCTCACAACATGCATAAAAAGAATTGACTTTTCATTCAATCAGCATTCAGGAGAGAACACAGTCTCGATCTTACATATTTAGTTCATAAGAATTCCTCAAGGCGAGAAGAGATTTGTATGGTAACAAGCACATCAAGTGATGAAGTAGAAAAATTTTTCAAAGAATTCAAATCTATTACAATTGCCACAGGAAGTTCAAAGTGGGAAACCAAAAATACAAAATTAAATTTTCTCTTTAATTTCATACAAAAAGAATTATTTTGAATTGTTTCATTTTGGTCCGTTACACTATTATACATAAAATCAATACAAAGTCCGTCGAGTGTAACAATGTTTTTTTAGGTCACTTCTTTCTCACTCTTGCCTTACATGTTTCGGTTTTAGTAAAACCATCTTCAGAGGCACATGGTACTAACAAGAAAACACTGGCGTT